CATGATCGATCACTCCATAGTGATTAATACACTCCATGGTGATGCCCGGTATTTTCCGTATTGTTCCCTATTTTTTATTGTCAAAAGATTTTTTATTGCATTGTGTTAAGTAACACACTAATTTTCCGTGAACGGAGAAATGAGAGAAATAACCTTCTATACTTGATGAGAGAACTTGTTTTATGCGAAAATCATGTACTACACAACTGTTTGTCTTTTATTTTTCTTTTTTCTTTGGATAATTAGTTAATTCATTTTGTGCTGTTTCATTGCCAATGCTAGTAATAATCTCTACAATATTATAAGTGAGAATATTGTTAGGGGTTTAACGGTCATAAAAAAAATGTTGGTGGTTCTTGGTGCATAATCTTACTGTACTTCATACTTACTTTGTTGTACATGGTTAACCTGTTAGCAGCTTCCATTACTAACGGAAGCCATTTCAACGTTATATCCTTACGGAGGAAAGTCTCAGCTTTTTATCTCTGCTCTATTTCAGCCGCTCAACATTCTCAGCTTCATACTCATGGCTTCTGGACATCAGTTTAGTTACTCAAAAGTCATCGGTTCTGCAGATTTTCCGCTTTCAAGTTTTTCCTCTTTTCAAAACCATGTGACAACCTCGATTTAGAAATAAAACATATGCTTCCTCTATATACATGTTTCAAAACCTTGTCCTTGACTGAACTTCGATTGTATCATGGATTTAAAGAAAGGAGGAAATCAAATAATTCGAATTCTTAAGCTTTTGAAGATCAACGGGGCTGTACCTTCTATTATAGTGACCCCTAAATCCCTAATTCGAAGAGTTTTGTGTTGGATCTAATCAAGGCTATGTAAGGGCTTCTTTCTTACTTTTATCGTTTTATTTTTCTCACTATTAGTGTATCTTGCTTCTTGTTGTTTAGATTAATCTTTTAGATTTTTTAAGCCAAAGACAAATCTACCGGTAAAGATTTGGGCTATGCCTACTTACAGTTTGACATACTAAGATAAAACTTTTAGTCTCAAAATGGCATTAAAATGAAACAAGCAATACGTATCCGATGCATGCTACTCTTTTTAGGAACTGAGGCACTAACAAAGCTATAGTGTTCTTTTAAAATCCTCATTGCCTGCCTTCCCAGGCTTGCTTAGTTTTGCATTTTTCTGTGAAACTAATGTGTAAATGTCACCTGTATTTCGAAAATATGGAAGTATACTTATGTCAATATACAACAATGTACAACATAAAATTTCATTATGAAATTCATTTGACAATGTATATATAAGTAATACAACTCAAGAAGAGGTTTGGGATCATTTAGCCATAAATCTTCATAAAATCCAAGTGCTCAGTTAGCCAAACTTGAGCTTCCTGAATGAATTTGTTTTATCCTACAAAAGCCTCTAACTTCATAAAACCTCCCTTATGGATGAATGTCAATATTTAGATTCTATTTTATTCTGGTTTGCTAATTACTTATTCTGGTTAAGCATTAAGCTTTTCAAATTTTCAAGTGTACGTATGCCCTATCGAGAAGGTCACACATATTCCTATCTGAGAAGAGACCATATGAATTCGGAGAGCGGGTTATGATACAATTATATTTTTTTCCCATAAAGGGCTCTCAATGAACACATCTATGTTATGCGATTGACTTCTACTCGAAGACTATTTCCCTATGGCTTTCAGGTACTTCACATCTTCAGAACCAATCTTCTATTGATGTTTATTTTATTTAAGCATGAAAATTATCCGATAATGCAAAACTAATATAACCATTCAGATCTTGACAAAATTCTAATTTGCGCAGTCATTCTAATGAAAACTAATATAACCATTAGAGCACCTTGCCCAGTCATTCTTATCTGCGCCTTTTGTGCGTGCCAAGCCCTTTAAGGCTTCAACAACCTATCCGGCTCAGATGGAACACCTGTTCCAGAATTTCGCACCTTTGAATTAGACTTTGCTCCATTCATCTTGATGATATTATTTGTTCCTTCTTTTGATGATAATTACCACAAGATGATAATAAAACAAAGATTTGGGAAGCATTGTCATGTATAAACTCTTGTTACAATATTCCTTAAATGTTACTACATATTATACATTTTCATAAACGTTACTCACAATCTATCTTTTTAGTTTTAAAGTAGCCGGCCACTCACATTTGATGATTTGCATCACTGCTGCTAGACTACATTCTTTATTTGTTGATTGCAATAGAAGGAAAATTGGGAAGCAAAGGATTTGTTACTATTGGCTGCGGTTGCTACATTCAACAGGAGGATTAGAGGAAACCACCCCTAAAGCACCTGGTATGCCAGAGCTACACTATGGAGTTGAGTGAGCACTCCTGCTCCTCGTTACCCCCCTTTGACAGAAACAACATGTGTTTCTCTCACCCGAAATGAGGTATATACTTGTGGGCTCCATGGGTTTTACTTGGCGGTTTTGTTTTCTTATTGTTTGAATTTCCCTTTCATCCTAGAGGTGAAGAATTAGCTCCAAAAATTTGATAAGTTAGTCTCTCTTTTTCTCACCCAACTACATGTTTACATATGTCTCAGTAAGTCAATATATGACTATGGAGAAGATATAACATACTCCGTATATGAATTAGCAGTATGCTTCATATCTAAATTAATGTATTCAGACACCAAATTTTCGTTCCTTTGGAATTAGCATATGACGATATTCCAAATTCCACTAACATATTTACTTTCTGGATCGTAAATAGATATGTAAAGCATGATTTATTGGAAAAAATAACTTTAAATAATACAAATCATCTCCCATGAACCAAGAATAATACTTACTTTAGAAATAAGTTTTAATAATACCAACTATTATACAAAAGTTATATACAACATTTTTTTTACTAAAAATTCAGCCATTTTACTCATCAAAAACTTGTTGTAAAGCAATAAAACGGATGCGCTGAGGAATAAGAGCAAAATATCGAATAAGTGAATGTATTTCCAAATATCATTTATTTGAATAGTTGCCATTGGTTTTTGATGTCCTAAATGACCGAATTTCTTGCCATTGGTATTATTAAAAGTCAGTTTTAAATTATGTATTATTATTGATTTATGGATGATAGTTGGTATTATCTAAAGTTATTTTTTTTACTGATTTATTACTTTGGAAATTTTGATCAAGCTTATCTATGGGGATTGCGAAAAGGGTTTGGAGAATTATGATCTCCAGAAGTCTAAACTGAAACACCTATGTGTGCTATGACAACATTTGCAGGGAATGTCAAGTATTCAACCGTCAAATTTTTTATTTGGAATCAAGTAGAGTAACATCAAACTTTGAGCTCCACTTGACAATTTACATTGTAGAAAGAGCACTTCAGAACGGCAAGACTCTTAAAAACTATTTGAACATAATTATTGTCTTTTCTTCTTTTGTTTCGTGTAGTTTCCACTTTTCCACCATCTCATGTCTTTCATGTATAATGTTTTCTTTTGTGACTTATGAGAGTGTTATGATTTATGAAGGTATTATGAGACCAATGATCTAGAATATTTTTTCTTGTCGATCACAATCAATAGGCTATAGTTTTATATACCTTGTGAGTTTTTATCTATTAAATAGTATTGATCATCCTGGAGTTAACTTCGTACAGAAGATTATCCTAGGCTTAGTCGCTCTAGCCAACATCTAAAATTGTATTACATGGATTTCATTTCTGGAATTTTTTGTGTGTGAAATGTAGTGGTCACATTATGTAGTATTTCGGCAGAGTGGTCTTCATTTTATTCAAGGCATCTTATGTGTTACAAGCGCATACGAGTTATATTCCAATTATACTAGCACAAATTAGTTGTAGTGGACTTCTTTCATCATCTATTATTTATTCTTGGGAAAAGGTGCAAATAAGCCCATGTACTAACCAAAAAAGGTCAAATAAGCCCTTATTTATGAGGCTCTGTCCGACCGTCGCCATTTAGGGTGGTTCCCGGTGTAATTTTTTGATGAAAATTTTTTAGCATCTTATTCATTAAGTGTAGTTTACTCATGCCAAATTTCAACAAAAATTTCAATCGGGAAGACATTCAAATGAATTCTCGAAGATAACTGCGCAGTTATCTTCGAGAATTCATTTGAATGCCTTCCCGATTGAAGTTTTAGCTGAAATTTGGTATGAGTAAACTAGACTTAATGAATAAGATGCTAAAAAATTTTCATCAAAAAATTACACCGGGAACCACCCCAAATGGCGACGTCCGGACAGAACCTCCTAAATAAGGACTTATTTGACCTTTTTTAGTTAGTACATGGGCCTATTTGCAACTTTTTCCTTTATTCTTTTTGTTCTATTGTGCTCTTTGTATTAATTACTTGTCACTTTTTCCCACTACTATTACTACAATTGTTTTTCTAGAACTCTTGATTTGATTTTCTTCATGCACTACAACCCAATAAATATTTGACTATTTCTCCAACCAAAACATTTTTGTGTTTGTTATGTGTGTTTTCATATAACAATACAAATGCATGCTATTGTTTCATGTGAACGTTACTCCTACTTTTATGGTTATTATAGTCATCTTGATTGCTTTATTTTCCCACATATAGGGTATGTTTGGCAAATGGCTGTTAGCTGTTGTTGTTAGCTGGTTGTGTCAGCTGTTTCCTAACAGCTGGTTGTGTTAGTTGTTTTGACCGGCTGGTTATGTTAGCTGATTATAGATAACTGTTTGGTAAAATTGGTTGTTTCGAAATGGCTGATAGAGTGTAAATTGAACCAGCCGAATGAATAAGCTGGCCCCCTTAGCTTCTTCAACAATCCATTTTTTCAGCTTTTCAAACTTTACAAACTAATTTTAAAAGCCATTTACCAAACATCATTATTAGCTTCTTTGACCAATCAAACAGCTGAAATGGGTCAAACAAGCTAAAAGCCGGCTGATAAGCCATTTGCCAAACATACCCATAATCTAGCCTTTAAATACTTTATTTTTTATGATTCATTATCAATAAATAACAAACTATGTATTCAAATATTGTATTCATATAGCTTAGATATTCACTCAACCTAAACCGATGAATTAATGTTCCTATAATAGCCTTGGGCATTACCACGAACGCGCAACGCGCGTTACTAAACTAGTAATAATATAGAGCGGAAAGTAATAGAAAGGTGCAGGCTGCATGTGTTGTTGTTGGGACTGGGAGAGATAGTGATATATACTACGTATGTATCCGGACTTGAAGCGATGAGCACATGGGCATGGGCCCACTGCTCTGCTAGTCGCCAACTCGCAAATGGATACCGCTCTGAGAACAATTGAACAAAACCGGGAGATGGATGATGATCAACCTCTCGCCTATTCCCCTCGGTAATCAACAACCACTTGCTTTCCTGCATCACTCTACTTTCTACTCATTCGCTCCGCTTCTTCCTCTCCATTTCCATTTCACTAATACTCGTATTATATATATTGCCCCTCCTTTCTCCTGGATACATGTCACTCGGGTTTAACCATAACCCTTTCTTTGAATTTCTTCTTCCTTGACACAATAGGCACGCTGATGTCTCAACCGCATACATCGTCTTCTGGGATAGGCTCAATTTCGTGTTTATTGTAATGGGTTGTGTCTACTCCAAAGCATGCATTGGGCAGATATGTCCTCCGAGAGAGTTGGATGCTAGAGACCCTGGAAATGTCAAAGTAGCGTCTGAGAACCCTGTCTTTTCACCTGCTTCCTCAGACGCGGAGGATGTGGACATCAGGGAACAGTTAAGTATAGGCAGGGACCACGAAATTGGTATAGCTAGGTCATCTCGCGTCTCTTTACAAATTTTACCCCCCGAAGGGGGCTCCATACTTCAACCTGCTAACTACGAATTAAGGTACTCATATCTGTCTCAAACAGGGTATTATCCCGATTCTCTTGATAAAGCTAATCAAGATAGTTTTTGCATCTCTACTCCTTTTGGGATGACTCTGGATGACCATTTCTTTGGGGTTTTTGATGGACATGGAGAATTTGGAGCTCAATGCTCACAGTTTGTGAGGAAGAAGTTGTGCGAAAATTTGCTTCAGAATAACAAATTTCATCTAGATGCTGTTGGGGCATTCCATGATGCTTTCTTGATCACTAACTCACAATTGCACGATGATGCTCTGGATGATAGCATGAGCGGGACTACGGCAATTGCCGTACTCGTACGTGGAAAAACAATTTATGCTGCCAATTCAGGCGATTCAAGAGCCGTCATAGCTGAGAGAAGGGGAAATGATATTGTGGCAGTGGACCTATCGATTGATCAAACCCCATTTCGTCATGATGAACTTGAAAGGGTTAAGCAATGTGGGGCAAGGGTTCTCACCATGGATCAGATTGAAGGACTGAAGAACCCAGACTTTCAATGTTGGGACACAGAGGAAGGCGATGATGGTGATCCTCCTAGACTTTGGGTACAAAACGGGACATATCCTGGTACTGCTTTTACAAGAAGTATAGGAGATTCTATTGCTGAGACTATTGGTGTTGTGGCAAACCCTGAAGTTACAGTTCTGGAGCTAACCCCAAATCACCCCTTCTTTGTGATTGCCAGTGATGGTGTATTTGAGTTCCTCTCGAGCCAAAACGTTGTGGATATGGTAATTCTTTTTCTTTTTCTCCTAATTTTCATAATGTGATATTCTTTCTATCTACAGATCAACACAAAGGCATGCTTTGAATATTAATGCCTTGCCCTGTTTCCAAGCTTCCACCACTAGTAAGTAGTAACACAAGTGTTAAACAAAAGAGTTAATTCCCTTAATAGAAGTAAAACATTAAAAAAAATTCCAAATAGGAGTTCAATGTTTGATAGGAGCAAAAAGTATATGGCTTGATCAAATTACCCTTTAATGAAATATTAGGTAAATTTATATATATAACTAAAACAGAAAAAATAAATTAAAAAGTGTTTCAAACCCTAGATCTACTGTTGCATCCATCAAGGTTGATGCCACCCTCTGCTGCCGTCACTGCCCTTCCACGCCATCGCAGCCGCCGCCCTCCGACATCTCCGGCGCCACCGTCTTTGGACCCCACGTCCGCGCCATCCTCACTGTCGCACTCCACCGTCTTCGACGACGCCCTCCTCTGTCGATCTACTCTGATGACTTCCTCCGTCGATCTCCTCCGGCAATGACCTCCTCCGTTGATCTACTTCGGCGACAAACTTCCCCCGTCGATCTCCTCCGGTGAGGCCGCCTCCGCGCCGTGACGTCTTCTGGCACCACCACTGCTTCATATGGCAGGATCGGTGCCAGCCTCTGGTCTGAAGAGACTAGTACAACAAGTGTCATCTTAACACTGGAATGCCATCTTAGTGGTATTCATGTTATATTACTATGTTTGTAATAACAAGTTCATATTGAGAAATATGAAAATATTGCCATGTTCATTGATTTAGTGCCATAGAATGGTAATATTTGCCGAAATTCCATTTTCACAATGAAAAACATGGCACTGCAATTTATGTATTTGAGAAAGACTGATATTGCCATCTTTACATGACATTATTTTTCGAATTGACATTTTCCGATTGAAAATGCTCATTAAAAATATATCATTTTTTTCAAAACAAATAAATTAAAGTAAATAAAAAATAGTTCCAAAACTTTCAGATAACCAATTGTTGTAACTTCTCATTTTTTAATCCAAAAAATTTAGATATAAATTAGTAATTTTCATTTTGAATCTCAAAATTAAACAAATATAATAAACAAAATATAGCAAAACAATTAAGAGATGAAGAAAATGGAGGAGCATGAGGACAAGATGAAGGGGAGTAGAAGAGGAGGGGGACCAGGCGGAGGAGAGGAGAGGAGGAGGAGGAGGGGAGGAGGAGAAGAATTAGAAAAAGCTTACTTACCCGGCTACCACGATCATTGTACGCCGGATCACCGATAGCTGGAGTTGGAGAGAAAAAAACAGGGAAAGGGTATTGTAGGAATTGAACTCCTATTTTGGGAATAAACACTCTTATGTTTTACTCCTATCGGGGGAAATTACTTCAAACAAAACTAATGTTGCATTTAGAGGCATGCCTTTTCCATTTACAGTCTTGCATCTTGATGGTTGTTTTTATTTCTTAATTAATCATTAGTTGTTTTCTTCTAAGGACCTAGGATGTGAAAGTGTGAGTTGGAAGGGGTCAAATTAGAGGCTTAAGTTTCCAAAAGAAGAAAAATACAAAACTTTTTGTGACACTTTCTTTTGAAAAAGGAAAAGGAAATGCAATTATAATATTTGAGGTAGGATTCTCTCGCCCTATTCATAAAACCCCATTCTTCTTATCGAAGTCCAAACTTTCCGGACAATAAAGAAGACTACCTGCCACACTTTATTCTTATCCGTGGTCATCTGGAAAGTGTCCATCTTTTAAGAAGTCAACAACTTTCGGGAAATCACTTTTTCTTCTTATCTTTTTACATGTGCTTATTAAACCAACTAAAAACTTAAGTGGTTCCCTAACATGAAAACACACTAGAGTACTGTAATGATTGCATACTGTGTGAAACGTTTTCTGTTTTTGAAATCACTACAACAACAACATCCAAGCCTTATTGCAAAGAGATTTTGGGTTCAACTAACATGAATCAATCCATGATAACTGAGTCAAAAAAAAAAATAAGAAGAATAAAAAAATAAAGTAAGATAAAATGGATAAGAAAAAGATAAATATGAGATAAAACAGGAGTTTTTTTTATGAATATTACTATATGGAGTTTTAATGACAAAAAGGTGACTTTGAGACCAATTTTCCCAAAATGTGACTTCCGTACGGTAAGTGTGTTTTTAGAAAGGAAAAAATTGAGAGTTTTATAACTGTTTGCATGGTAAAAAATGGGAGAAATAAACGGATTATATAGTTGATCCGTAACTGAAAAACTGAAATGAGGGGAATATGAGTTATGCTAAATCTCCATTTTCATAAGCTTCGTTTTAACGCAAACGTTGAGATGAAGACTTTATGTTCGAAGACATTGGAGACGATCGCGACTTGGAAGGAGATAAACGAACGTAGTGACTGATACATAGTGGGTCGGGATCCTATAAATGGGGTGTAAGGGTGTTCGCAGTGACTGACAAGCAGTTTCACATAGTAATAAATTCATAGTCAACACAGCTAGAATAAGATGGATTTTATAATAGTGACTGGGTTATACTCGTACATGGTGGTATTTGTGTACTTTCAGTGACTACTGTGTATTGTAGTAAAAAATAGGTTAAAGTTATGCACTCATTGTTGCAGATAAGATGAGCTAATATTAGGGGGTAATTAGGGACTAATGGTGCTACGTAGTTCGGAGAATGGGTGGTGTATGTGTCCTTCCAGTGACTATGTTAGTGGTGTCTAGTAGTACGAAGTAATATATAGGTGTGTTATATGATTGCGTTCATTGACTTCTATGGATATGAAGGGACCATGTATGTAACTCAAATGCTAGAAGAAGATGATTTAGTTTTTCAGTGGATTTGAAGTTGTTTGGCTGTTAAAGGAATGGTGTGAAAATAGTTTCGTATGCCGTTAGTGAGAAAAAGGAAAAAAACGGAAACTCAGTGAGAGAAAAGCATTATAATTAATTAACCGTGCTTAAATAATGAAATGGTGTCAGTTTTTTGGAAAAGGTAAGAAAGGTAATATTTTTGGAATTGAAAAGTGTAATAGTAAGAGCATCTTTAATGGTACTGTGGATTGTACTCCACAAAAAATGGACATGTCATATTTGTAGAAGGTCTATGAAGCTGATGTGGACACATAGACGGTTAAAATATTATTTATGCTTCAATGCAATCGTCAATTTGAAGAATGAGTCCCCTATTTGTGCAGTACGCCCCATCTAAAAAACTGTCGCCCCGGGCTATTACTATGTAGTATGTACTACGTATTACGGAGTATGATTCATCTTTTTAACTTTTTCATCTCCACAAGCAGAAACAGTAAAACAGAGACAGATCAACGATTAATTTCTATTGAAAAATATCCACAGTTTTGTTTACTCTGAATCAAAACTTTACATACTTTATATATATCTGCACGTTCAATTAATTATGATTCTTTTTTCACATGCATTTACTCACATCAGTAGTTGGTAGTCAAAATAAAAAGAGGGAGTTAAAATGATAATTATAAGACTGCTTCCAGTTTTGACCAAGGTGCAGGAAAATTTTGGCCTCTGTGTTTCGTTTTGAAGATATATGCGAAGACCTAATTTATTCTTTGACTCTTCAGCGATGGAAGTTTCGGTGGATATTTTAGGATTTCCCCCAAAAATTTCAAAAAAAAAAAAAAAATGCTGAGTCACGATGTCTGCTAGACCTGCTGAATTTAGACGGGCAGTGAGACACCCTCTACCCTTTCCATTTCCATGTCAGCACCGCTACTAAAATAGACAGTTGCGTTGGAGAAGATTTTTGCATCCCACAATCTATTTCAAATACGTGGCCATGCATTTGCTCCAATCGATAGCACCACTAAAGATGCTCTAATATAGAGGCCATTTTTTCTATAAAATAACATAAGAAGATAAGAAAGATAAAAGATAAAAGAGCATAAAAAGATAAAAGATAAAAATAACATAAGAACATAGAAAGATAAAGAAGATGAAAGATAAAAGAAAACGAAAGAGAAAAGAGATCAATCGTTCACACGAATATGTGCCCTCCACTTTGCTTCTGCAAAGTCATACTCTCATCCAACCCAAGAAGAAACATATCAGTTCTGATTCCTCTAATCCAAGTATGTTTGTGTCTTCCTCTCCCTCTCCTCCCCACCTCTTCTCCCCACCTCTCAAGTTGTCTAACAGGTGCATCACTCAGCGTTCTGTGCACTTATCCAAACCACCGCAATCGAGAATCTGACATCTTACCTTATATAGATGATACTCCAACCTTTTGTCTTATTATCTCATTCCTCAAACGGTCTTTTCTGGTATGTCCACACATCCAACACAGCATATGCATCTCTGTCACACTTATTTTTTGAATGTGACATTATTTCACCACCCAACACCCTACACCTTGCTCTGATTTTATAGGATATATCTCCATCTAATTCACCATTCTTTTGAATTATGGAGCCCAAGAAACAGAACATACCACACATCGGTATCTCCTTGCTATCAAGGGTAATCCGCTGTTACTAATACTTCTACCTCCACCAAACTTGCACTCCATATACCCAGTCTTGCTTCGGCTCAGCCTGAAACCCGTGGTCTCCATTGTTTGTCGCCATACTTCCAACTTTGCTCTAACACAATTTCGTCTCATCAATCAAATGAATCAATACAATATCGTTGACAAAACATCATGCACCACAATATATCTTCTTAAATTGACTTCGTAAGTTCATCCATGACTCTAGCAAACAAGAAAGGACTTGGAGTCGATCCTTAGTGCACTCCGATAGTAATAGGGAACTCCGCAGTCCTCCCTGCACTAGTACGAACACTTGTAGTACAAGTCTCATACATATCCATGATGATACTGACATACTTGCGTGATATTCCTTTTCTACTTGAGGCCCAACAAAGGACTTTTCGAGGTATCCTATCATATGCCTTTTCTAAGTTAATGAACACCAAACACAAGTCCTTTTTAGTGTCTCTATCCTTTTTCACAACTTGTCTAAGAAGGTGAATGACCTCAGATGTTGATCGTCCAAGCTTAAAACCAAATTGATTCTCCGAAATTTTCACATTTTTTCAGAGTTTTTGCTCATCTACTCGCTCTCAAAGTTTCTTAGTGTGACTCATAAGCTTAATCTCTCAATAGTTGGCACATTCTTGTACATCACCCTTACTTTTAAATAGGGGAATGACAATACTCTTCCGCCAACTCGCAGACATTATGTTGTTTCTCCAAATCATGTTAAAGAAACGTGTTAGCCACTCAAAATCTTTCTTTCCCAAACTTCTCCAGGCATCGATCAGTATTTCATATGGACCCGTGGCTTTCGTCCGCCCCATCTTTCTCAGAGCCTCTTTAACTTCCTATGTTTGGATCCTTCTCACAAAGTCCCGATTTACCATACAATGTGGTATAGTAAGATCATCAATACCTTGCACTTTATTCCTGTTGAACAAGATATTAATATGACCTCCATCTCTCTTTTATTTCCTTGTCCTCCATTAGTACCCTTCGATTGACATCCTTCACACACTTAACTTTTCCAATATCTGGAGTTCTACCATCACGAAGGCGAGCAAGTCCGTAAATATATTTTTCTCCTTCCTTAGAGTCAAAATTTACATATAATTCCTTGTTCACTTTCCCTCTTGCTTCCTTTACAGCTTTCTTTGCTTTGCTTTTAGCCTCCTTATACTCTATATTCTCATCGTTCCAACTTTTTCCCAACTTTTTTTTACCATTCCCTTTTCGTCCTTATTGCTTGTTTCACCTCATCATTCCACCAAGATGTGTCCTTGTTTGGTGGCAGACATCCTTTATATTCTCTGAGTGTCTCCTTTGCCACATGGTTAATGGTCGACTCCATTGATAACCGCACATCATCCACATGTGCGTCATTTTCAATACACCTTACATCTTCCTCCAACATTATGTATGCAAAACTTTGTTGGAGATCCACTCGAGCCTTCACCACTTTATCTTTGGCTCCACATGTATCTTAACCCGTCTTCTCTTCTTGCCTTGAAAATCAAGCACAAACATCCTATCATGTGAGTGATGGCACTCTCACCTTACCTGAGATAACCTGACGATCAATGTAGCTAGTTCTCTAAGTCATTTGCACAAAACCATGGCAATTACAGAACCATGGCAATACTGTAGAGTGTAGACTTCGACTGAACATGGAAAAATTGATATTTTGATGGGGTAGACTTTTTTGCTTTTTTGTTTTGTTTACATAGTGCTGTGAGAGGACGTGATAAAAAAATAGATAACACTAGAAATATAATAGGTAATGAGGAAGAAGGAAATTGATAAAATTGATAACACTGGAAATATATAAGGTGATGAGAAAGGGATTATCGTGAGAAGTGATTTTCTGGTTACATTACAATTTGGGATATTTCCATACTATATATAGTACAAGTGAAGGGACAAGCAAGCATGCATGGTACATGCATGTCATGTATCTTACGTAAGTATGCTAACCAAAATAAAGACATTACACATGAAGGTGAAGAATATTGGGAATATTTTAATACTCCCTCTCAAGGAGGAGTGTGAGAACGATCTGTACCAATGTTTTTGGTAAATATATTTGCTACTTGATTGGCGGTTGAGATGAATAAAGGTTGGATCTCATTACTGGAAACTCTCTCGCGTGCAAAATAACAATTCATTTCTACATGTTTTGTACATTCATGGAATAATGGATTAAGTGCAATGTCGTGAGTTGCCTGGTTGTCACAGCAAAGAGGCGTGGGACCCTTGTGAGTAGTCGTGAAATCCTGAAGCAACCAACCTAACCTTTATATTTCACTCACTCTGACAACCATTGCATGATATTCTGCTTTAGCAGAACAAGAAATAATAAATTGTCTCTTTGTGCGTCAAGAAGACATGAGAGCGACGAGTGAAGGAACATTCGGCCCACTCCGCATCACAATATCCTTTCAATGTGAGATTGTAACCGTGAAATCCTGAAGCTACCAATGTAGCCTTAATATTTCACTCGCTCTGACAGCCATTGCATGATATTCTGCTTTAGCAGATGAACATGAAATAATAAATTGTTTCTTTGTGTGTCAAGAAGACATGAGAGCGACGAGTGTCTGGCCCACCCTGCACCACAATATCCTTTCAATGTGAGATTGTAATCAGGTGATAAGAAAAATTCCTTGACAAGGTGCGTGTTATAAGTAGCGTATGATACTTATGGCGCCATCAAGATGAGCTTATTGGGGACTGTCGAGAAATTAACTGAGTTGACTAACATCATAAACAATAAATAGATGGGTGACCGCCAGATATAGTAAACGCCCAATTAGGCGTCGATAAGAAGCATCCACTAGAGAGCTGTTGTTGTCCGGTCTAAGTTTTAGGTTTTGCTCCACGAGAAATGTGTTGGGGCGCCCCGTTTGAATATCACTTTCCTCCAAAATGTGAAGAGTATACTTCCTTCAACTTAAAAGAAAACCGTCGAGAGAATGCACTTCTTCAATTCCAAGGAAGTATTTTAATTTACCGAAGTCTTTGATACTAAATTTGGTATCTAGACAACTTCTTAGAGTCCTCATTTCTAATTAGAAGAACATCATCAACATAAAAAAGTGAAAAGTATTGATGGGGCCTGGTCGAAAAATAAATAGAGTGATGGGTGATCAGCCCGGGACCAGTGGAAGCCTATTACACAAATTTATGATACCAGTTGCGTGAGGCTTGATGTAGTCCATAAAGGGATTTTTGTAATTTGCAAACTCGAGTGTCACCATTTTTAATGAACCCTTGGGGAATACACATGTAAACATTCTTGTAACCAGTTTTAGCAACTAAACCTCTTGAGAGTACGGTAGTTGCATCTAAATATGCAAATGCCGTAGCAGGAGCAGGATCGAGGTTATGGAACCCTCTTTGGTGGAAGTAATCCCTAGTTGTAGCTATAAATATAGCTATTTTGTAATGTTTTCATCATCAATAAATAGAATGAGAGTTATATTTCATGCATCTGATGCATGTCCCAAACATTGATGCCATAAATATGAAGTAATAGAGACCTACATTGTCACACTTTTTGGAAGCTCAATGTAATAAAGATCATTACAGAATGTACCCATCAAATTTCTTGAGGGTAAGTCTCGTAGAATACAAAAAAAATCTGGAAAAATGTGAGTGTACAATTAAAATCGCTTATTAAGTGACTGAATGAAATTAGTTTGCACTGGAATTTGGGGGATGTTTAAAACTTGTTGGAGACAGAGTTCATTGGATAAATGTAAGCAGGAGAGATCGGAACTAATTTACCATTAGAAATCCAAACATGTGGTATAGAATTGTGAGATATGATGTCAACGAGACCCTTATTGCTATAAACAATATACTCACTTGCTCTGGAATCAATAATCCATAGACGATTTTGTTGCAATATATCTGTCATATTTGTATGGTTCTGTATCCAGAATTTCGATCTCATATTATGATAAAGTTGATAATACGAAATATAAAAGGTAATGAGAAGAAGGAAATTAATAACACTAAACACATAAAATGTAACAAGAAGGGATTCTCGTGAGAAGAGTTGTTCTGGTTACATTACATTTTGGGACATTTCCATGCTATATTGCTATATATATTAATTGTTTCAGTACCCATCCATATTGTAGTTCTAAATTTACCTATAAAATAGGTTCTAAAAGCTATGCAACTTCAAAATGAATGAGTTTTTGTCTCTCTAATCTCCAATTTATCAATTAATTCTTTATAGCGCAATGTTTTTTTTTGATAAATAAGCTAAAAGTCGTTGTTTCCCCAAAATTTTACGTACACCTCTTTGAGATAAGTAGTCTTTTTTGTGCAATTTCAAGTGGGAAGTAAGCCGGTGTATTCTATTGGTGAAATTCCATATTTGAAATTCAACGGAACCTCTGTTTTGTTGGTTTTGGGTTTTTATAAATAGTCGAAAGAGATAAGTTTTTTACATTAACCTAATGAACTCCCTTCATTGATATATAATATGCATTTAAAATATTTTTTTATAATTAAGTTATAGATTCATTTCATAGATATGAAATAATTGATTAGTAACTATATAGTACAAGTGAATGGACAAGCAAGCATGCATAGTACGCCATCAAGCGTATCGAAAATATTTTAACAGGACAAGTGTTAGTTTTTTCCCTATTCTCATTTATGGTCTGAAGATTTACTTTCCTTCTTTTCTGAATGAAATGTCAGGTTTCGAAGTATAAGGATCCCCAGGATGCTTGTGCAGCCATAGTTGCTGAATCATATCACCTGTGGTTACAGTATGAAACTCGTACTGATGACATTACTGTGATAGTTGTCCATATTATTGGATTAAATGATGTAAGTTGGCTCCTACTTTTGAATTTTTTATGTCCATTTGTATTAGTTTCTTTGACTTAAAATACTGACTCAGTTCTGTTTCAGGCTGCAGGTGTTCAATCCAAAAGTTATGAAGCAGCTGTAAGATTCCCTTTACTTCAGGATGCAGATACATCAGGTTCAGAATCTCCAACTGTCATGAGCTGGAAATCAAAGAATCAACGAGAAAGACAAGATATATCACATGCACGGCTTCATGCTCTTGAAAATTCCCTCGAGAATCGGCTGATTTGGATGCCTCCTTCTCCACGTCACAGGAAGACCTGGGAAGAAGAAGTAAATTACTCTTTTAAAAAGCATTGCTCTTGACTCTCTTTTTTCACTCCCCAGAATGCCTGCTACTTCTTTGATAACATGAACATACTCTTGAGTGCTTCAGCAGTCTTTACTTTGTAATATCTATATGACAGGCACAAATTGGGCAGGTCTTGCACGATCACTTTCTTTTTAGAAAACTGACAGATTCTCAGCATCATGTTTTACTGGATTGTATGAAAAGAGTGGAAGTTCAAGCAGGAGACATTGTAGTGAATAAGGTAAAGTGTCTGTAAATGCTCTTTGTCATATTGGGATCGTTTTGCTGATAAGATCTAATGATCTTGACATCTTGTGTTTGATATCTATAAATATGATAAGATCTAATGATCTTGACATCTTGTGTTTGATATCTATAAATAAGGGCAGTCCAATGCATGTTGGCGTCCCCGCAAGGCGAGGGTTCGAGAAAGGGTCTCACTCTCACCACAAGGATTAATGGGGAGCAAGCCTTCCCTCGTCAATTTGACAAGAGGCCGCCCCCAAAACTTGAACCCATGAGCTCTCGCCCGTTTGGTCACACAGTAATACCGTGACTGGTGCGCCAAGGCTCCCCTTCGGTTTTTATATTTAAGATAAGAATAAAAAAACTTCATACCTAAAACTTCCTCTACCCACTATTGCTCTCGTAAATATAATACTACCTGATGTTGTACACCAAGCGATCTTTGCATTTACTAAATAAACCAATTGGTGGTCATACGTGAAAATCTTCTTTGAGAAAAAAGAAATAGGGCTGCATACATTCTCTGCCTATACCCTGTTTGAAGGGGGTGCCACAGAATATTAAACCAAAGTTTTTCTTCTTCTTTTGATAGGATATCATTGTCAGCATGACTGATTAAATGGTATGCATAGAGTTACTCTATATAGCAGTGTATCTGAAAATTGAATGAGATACAGATGGATTAATTATATTGGGTTTGAAACCACTCAAGTTACATGGAAATACAAATATCCATAATCACGGAATGTATGACATGGTGGTGGAAATGCAGCAGTCATCTGTATCATATGTTAAGATCATTATTAACTGTCCCTGTGGATCAAGCAATGCTTTCGCTGTCATGATTCTCTCATGCTACATACAAACTGTTTTGATTATCGCAGAATTATAGTCACATTTATGTTTAGACTTTAGACTATATTTCCCTCATCATAATATAGGGGTATGTTGCATGATATTCTCTTTAAAGAGCTCTAGCAACTGTTTAAATAAATTTCTTTACTTGCAGGGTGTTGAATGTGATTCGTTTTATGTAGTTGGAAGTGGAGAATTTGAGGTCCTGGAAACAGAGGTGATTACTCATTTTTTCGCCCTTGTGGTTTCATTAACATTGTTCCATTTGCAAAGGAATCCGAGGTCATAAATAAACACATCGTTACATTTGCAAAGGAATCTGAGGTCATAAATAGCTTGTAGTCTTGGCCTCTTGGGTCAACTTTTCTGTAATCCGGTGATATAAATTTTAGGTGGAAAACCCCGGAGGAACACAAAGGGTTCCACAGATATACACCGCTGAGAAGCTATCATCCTTCGGAGAGCTGGCCCTGATGTAAGAGTTCTGTTAATGCTTTTCATTTGTTTACTTTCTCCTTTATTTAACGAGACATATTGCAAAATGGCTTGACTTCTGATCTTAATTCACCCCTAAAAGCTAAGATCCCATTTGGTTGTAGTTAAACTGAAATGGCAGAATTTGTTGAATTTTTTGAAAAGAAAAGTGTTTGGTAAAATTCGTTTCAGCCCAATATGTAATTCAATAACTGCTTAATTCATTTATTCTGAATAAGTACCTTTTTTCCCATGTTTAAGAAACCAGACCAGACCGGGCAAGTCGGCCCCGAAATTGGCGAACCGGTACCTTACCCGGTCCGGTTACCCATTGACTTGTAAATATATCAAAAACTGGAAAAAACGACAGCCCGTTCGGACCCAAGCACAATCCAGAAGAATCCGGAAGTCAGGCAATTTAAAATTCTGTCTTGGCTGGGAATCAAACCCTTGCGTACCGAGATAAATTTCAAGAGGCATTCCAAATCACCACTGAAACTGGTTGTCATGGGGAGTCATTTAACTGTAATTATACCTTTCATATCCGTTTATGTATATAACGTTCAAATATAAGTTAAAATGCTTAGAAAATACCTTTGAGATTTTATAATAAGTGCAGTTTTTTAAAAAAAAAATGAAAAAAGTATGCGATGTATTTAAATATTTACTGTGGAGAGAAAATCGTATGTATATATTTTATAGATGTACATAATAAATATCAAATAATATTATTGATTTAAATAGGCCTAAAACTATATTTTAGATATGATGAATCATGAATGTGTGAATATATTTGAATATTAAATATTAAAAAATGCTTAAGTATTCTTATTCAACACTATTGAAATATTCAAAATATTTTAAAATTAAAACAAATACTCCCTCCGTCCCCTTTTAAATGTCCCGGAAGAGGGTGACACGAGTTTTAAGAAAAGTCGGTTTGTTTGGTTGATATTAATTTATAAAGTAAGAATAAATTAAGAATGATTTTGAGCCACACAAACTTTACCAAATAAGGTTTGAGACAATTAAATAGGGACATCCCAATATGGTAAAACGGGACATTTTAAAGGGGACGGAGGGAGTATCAAATAACATTTTTGAATATATAAAAAATCCTTACTATATATTATTTATTTATCATAGTGAAGCATAAATATTTTTAACTTTTTTAATATATTAATATATGTTTATTACTCTCTTCAAAAAAATTGTTTATTACTATAAATTAAAATTTTATATAAAAGTTGATCGGGTTGACCTGTGACCCGATCCGGGTCACTTCCTGGTCCAGTTTTTACAACATAGTTTTTTTCCACTAAATGGGTTATAATCCTTGAAAATAGTACTTCCACCGTCCCACTAAGAGTCTAAGATTGTCCCATACCAAATTTGATAAAATTTGTGTGGTTCTAAATCATTCTTACTTTATCAATTTAATATCAACCGCATAACCCCACTTTTCTTAATAACCACACCACCACCACCACCTTAGTGGGACGGAGGTAGTATGAAATAATGGGAATATTTAGTCTGTCAAGTTTTCTTGTCGAAGTGTTGCTTTGTTACTGCGAATTTTTACTGGAGTAATAAATGATGCAACTTTGTTGTGAACAGAAAAAAATAAAATCAACGGGGTAAACTGTTGCCCGATAATCAACGGTAAAAATACCGTTGCCTAGAGCCAAAAGGCTAAAACCAATTTTACTCCAAGATCAGCCAGAATGAATCCTAACAAGGGGTTTAAATACCCATCTACTAATAATTAAACTAGGAAACAAAATCCTAGAAATCCTAATCAACTCTAACTAGGAAACAAAATTATAAAGATCACAATCAACTCTAACTAGGAAACAGAATAATAAAGATCCTAATCAACTCCAAATAGGAAAGAAATAATAGAAATCCTAATTAACTCCAAAAGGAAACAAATCAGGAAAAATAAAAGAATAAATATCAATTAAACAACCCGCAACCAACCCACGAAGGTGGGCTTAAGCCTGTCCCGCCCCATGCTCTTCCCGCTCCATATCAATCCATCCCCCTTCAAATTAACCTTGTCCTCAAGGTTGAAAACTCGCGGATCGGGAAATGAAATTTCCAGACATAGAATAGACTGGAAAATATCCTTCTTCTCTTTCCTGAACCCTTTCCTGGCCGGTTATTTCGCAGAATTCGTGTTGCTTGAGGTCTAACTCTTCATCCTCCTCAGCTATCATTACCCGCAGCCCCTTAAAGGGGCAATCATGCCCCGGCGTAAATGGTTTCTTGCACCTAAAGCATAATTCTTTCGCCCTCAATTCTGCAAACTCTTTCGGCGGAAGTCAAGTGAACTGAGAGTGTGTCGTAGGCTGCCCGGACAGCCCTGATTTCGTCCCCGGAGGCTGTCCACTATCTTTCGCCAAGCTGCCTTCCGAACCCTGTAAGCTGCCACCAATGGCAGTCAACGGGGAACTTGTGTTTGCCATTAAAAGGTTGCTAGAACGTACCCCTGAAGAATGATAATTCAGGTTGCCACCTTCTCCACTTTGGACGGACAGATTATGATCCACTTCGCGAGCTCATTCCATAGCCATCTCCAGGTTGTTCGGCCGAAGTAATCGCAGCGAGCTTCGGATTGTTTCCTTAAGCCCACTCATGTAATAGCCCAAGTAATAATCCTCGGACAGCCTAGGAACCTGACTGGCCAACTGCACAAAAAGGTTATTATATTCTTTTATGGTCACCAACTGTTTTGCCCCGGACAGCCGTTCAAATCAGTTGCCCTTGAACCGCGAATCAAAACGGGCCACCAGTGCATCTGTGAATTCCTCCCAAGACAGGCCCGGTTTTCGTGCCTTCAGCCAGGTCAACCAGTACAGGGCAGCCCCTTCCATGGCTACCATATCTACTGCCACTTTCCTCTCATGTAGGGTTTGATTAATTTTGAACTGTTGTTCAGCCCTAGCCATCCACCCGATTGGGTCTGTTCCGTCAAACGCAAGTAACAAGGTTGGAGCAGGGTTGCGCAGCACTCCCTCCACGTTCGGCGATATCAAGGCAGATCTGACTCCTGCTGCGGCGGTGTCCGGCGATTTCGGCGGCACCAGGGACTGAGTCAGCGCGGCCAGAGAGGCGGCGATCTCCGCCAGCTTTGCACTGTGGTCTTCGAGCGTCTGGTTCATCCGGTTCTGCTCGAGTGCCATCCGGGTTTGCTCAGCCCCCAGTCAGGCCACTTCCTCTCCCATTCAGTTCTGCTCGTTTTCCATCCCTGTCAAGCGTTCATTCTGAGTTCTGGTCATCTTGGCGGGACGGGATCCGGCAGGTCGGACCAATTGATAAGAACAGAAAAATATAAAATCAACGGGGTAAACCGTTGCCCGATAATCAACGGTAAAAATACCGTTGCCCAGAGCCAAAAGGCTAAAACCAATTTTATTCCAAGATCAGCCAGACTGAATCCTAACAAGGGGTTTAAATACCCATCTACTAATAATTAAACTATGAAACAAAATTCTAGAAATCCTAATCAACTCTAACTAGGAAACAAAATAATAAAGATCATAATCAACTTTAACTAGGAAACAGAAAAATAAAGATCCTAATCAACTCCAAATAGGAAAGAAATAATAGAAATCCTAATTAACTCCAAAAGGAAACAAATCAGAAAAAATAAAAAGAATAAATATTAATTAAACAACCCGCAACCAGCCCACGAAGGTGGGCTTAAGCCTGTCCCGCCCCATGCTCTTCTCGCTCCATATCAAACTTACATTGATATGAGATCTACTGTGCATTGGTGAGAATGGGATTAGGTTCCCCAAGACTTCATCTGCCAAAGTCATTTTTGAATGATTAATATTCATTTTTGTTAACTACCTTTTGTTTTGGTTAAATTCGACCACAGGTACAACACACCTGCACAGGCCTCTGTTCGTGCGTTAACAACTGGAACACTCTGGGAACTCACAAGAGGAGATTTTAGAGGAATCCTTACATCAGAAATTTCTTATCTGTCATCATTGAAACTGCTTCATTCAGTAGATCTTCTATCAAGACTGACAATTTTACAGCTAAACCATATAGCAGATTCTCTTTCAGAAATTAGTTTCTCTGATGGGCAAACTATAGCAAATAAGGTATTCATTACTTTTATCTTCTGGATGCATAAGCTATTTCATTTAATTCTCTTCAATCTGTTTCACATATTGTAGGATGAAGATCTCCTTGGTCTGTACATCATCCAAAAAGGGGAAGTCGAAGTGACATTTGACATGGATACAGTGAAAATAAAAAACATATCAAGTCTCATATGCAACAACAAGAAGCATGATTTGGTGCCAAACAACAAGGGTGTCTCACTGCAAAAGGCTGAAGGAAGCTATTTTGGGGAGTGGACACTTCATGGCGAAAATGTTGGCTGCTTAAGTGTCATTGCTGTGGGCAATGTAGTTTGCTCGGTCCTAACAAAGGAAAAGTTTGAGAGAGTCATGGGACCTGTGACAACTTTCACCGGGTGACGAAAAATTGCAATTCATTCATGTGCCCTTTGATGCGATTCTCACTGGATGATCTCAAGTATGTTAGTATCTTCCGTGAACTTGTGAAGTAATCAACATAAGCAACAAATTAGTATCTTCGGTCCTTGGCAGTAATGAGAACTTGAGAAGCTCACCACCCTCTTCTTTATGTGGGCCCACAACTACTCTTCAAATATCTCTGAAGAACCAATCAAAAGGTGTGGCACTTCGATTCATGCAAATTTGCAACTCATTGATTTCGTAGCGTTGCATATTTTTCAGTTAAGAGTTCCAAAAACCTGTGTGGGTGGTTCGGCCATGACTGCACTTGCCAATTATTTTATAGTAAGGCATGCCCTTTATTCCAGAGGGTTTGAGGCCTAGCTGTGTGGCCTTCCATATACTTTCCTTGAGGGTTGGAATCATCTTAAAGTGCTGCACGGCCTGCACCCCTATCCTTGATATGTAGATGGTCTTACCCAATGACCTAATAATTATATAAACAGGAGATTTTAGTGGCAATCCGATGTAACACAGGATTCTCTGCATTTCAGAACTTACAGAAAGTTGGAACAGCTTTCTTTTCCTTCTCATTTCTACAGATAAGATGCTTAGCCTGGATAGATTTTCAAAGCTATGACTTTTTGATAAGAGAACAAGTTTGAAAAGAATTGGTGTTATTGATGCGCCTATGGTCTACCTCAACACCTTGTTAAGGTTGCATAACATACTTCTGTAAGTCCGCTCCTGTTATGTCAAGATGGTTTCTACGCTTAACATACTTTCCTAATCAAGTTCGGTATAGGATTTTAATGTAGATGTGTATTAACCTAGGTGCTAATGTTGGAAGATTGGACTGTAGACACAAATGTGAATCAGGCCATACAAAACTATAAATACTACCTGTAACTCAGAAAGTCAAATTTCAGCAAGTTACAACTTTTTTAATTTTGTAAGATACAATCATGCAACTTTTGGTTATTTATCATAAGTTTCATTGTTTTTTTGGAAATCATAACTACATTAATGGAAAACTAAATTCTTTTGCTGGAATAAGACAAAATGATTTTCGAACATGCTTTTTTGTAGACAATTGAAGTAACAGTATACAAGTCAACAAATGCAGTTATATTGAGCAGTGGAGGGGCGGAGTTATTTTCTGCTCTCATCAGTTTAACTGTATAGAAGTAGAGGGCTACGTTAAAGCTTCTCATCCTCAACAACAACAACAACAACAACAACAACAACATCCAAGCCTTAATCCCAAAAGAAAAAAAGAGAGAGAAAGGGAGTACATCTGCATAGAACTGGAGGATGGAGTCAGGACTTCGAAAAGAATAAAATGATAAATAACTCATATAGTCATATGCCACTTCTAATAAGCAGGGGGAGGTGTTCAGGACGGGAGTGAGGGTGGAGGATGTAAGAGTAGAGTAGCCGCATCACATGGTGGCTGATTACATATAGTGCTGCATTTATTTCTTTGTTACCTGTTGTTTCTATCCTGCAATCTATTATGACCTATGTTTAGATGTTTCCATAGCCTAAATTTGTTTGTGTAATTGCTGTAGGCGGGCTGTGAGGACAGGATCTACTTCATGCTACATGGTGAAATGAGGCGTGTGAACTTAGTTTTGCTCAAATTGCATAAGTTAGTTAACACACCTAAATGCTTTTAGCTGTGAAGTTGTTGATCTCATTTCCAAGGTCCAAGTATTATAATTTTGTGTTTACAATTATTAATCAATTTTGTAACGGATTTGAACTAAAAATGTGTTGCAGTTATTTGAAGTGAATGAGAACTTGAGACTTGGAATTCAAGGTATTGACTCTCAAAACTTAACTGAAATCTCATCTCACTTCTCGTATCGTAGTTGTGTGTCACGCACGCCTTTTGATTCACTGCTTTCATATCAGTTAGCATCGACTTTTGATAATATTAATTTATTTGCATAGGTCTACCAATCAGGATTTGATCATATTAATTCATTAACAGGTGTCAACCAATCAGGATGAGTGACACAAATGAGACAAGAAAATTAAGACAAGATTGAATTCCTCAAAATCCACCTGTAGTTTGATGGTTTTTATTGGAATGGGTATACTCCCAATTCAACATCCCTAGGATTGCTACAGATTTACATATCATGACTCCGAAGATTCATACTCCCCATAGCTTGAAGAATTACAACGGTGTTGTGCCCTTTTTCCATCCATATGTTGGAAATTGCTCCACCAGCATTATATAAAACACTACTTACATGTAGTTAGTTTCCTCAAGTAATTACTAGATATAATAAGCACAAATAATAAAATGAGTATCAGCAAATATACCTAAAACAACTATTATTAAAAGATCCCACAATTACATCCCGTCCAATTTTTCTATGTGCTTTCATTTCCATTATCATTTCTTTGCGGGACCCTAACACATCCTAAAGGACATTTGAAAACACTTGCATGTCTGGTCTGGTATGCACTGGTCTGGTCTGTTTTTTTTTGTATTTTTATAACTATCCAAGTCTGGTCTCGGTCAGATTACAGTCTAAGTAAAAACATCCTTAGTACGGACATGGTTGCCGTTCTTAACAAGAGTTGGCCGAACTAGAATCAATCTGGAACTAGAGTCAAAACCAGTCAAGTAAAAACCGGGCATGGACCGAATGGTTAGATAAAAAATGTATGCTAAAATATTGAGTTGGAGACTAGGAATTCGGTATTAACTTCAGAAAAATTGAGAGTAAAGGAACATGTAGTCTTTTTCTTTCTTACCATGACAATATCTAAATGAGATGTATAACTTCTTGAATGAACTCACAATTGATAAGTTTATCAACTTCTTTCTCAATGAGGGGAATCAAATCGGAAGCGCCTTTGAGCTCTCTTCATTGGTTGGCACCATTTCTTTATTGCTAAGCAATAAACAACCACTTTTTTTATTCAAACCAAGCATTTTCTTGTTTGAGCATCCAAGAATATTTATGTATTCTCAAAGGCTTCAAAGCAAGCCCACATATTCTTCTTTTTCTACACTCGGAAGAAGGGTACTTATATAAATGGGGTGAAAATTTTACTCCAGCCCACCCCAACCTTTTTTTTAAATTATAGGTATATGTTCATAACAAAATTGGTGTTTAGCCCAACCCAAAAATCAAAAGCCCATTAAGTGAATTAATTTAAAATGTAATTCATAATTTTTAGTCCTTGTAAATTTTTAATACACCTGATGAAACAAAGCCCAAAACTAATTGAAACAAAGCCCATTACACGGGAGCAACTCGTGATAGGAACCCACAACTAGGTCGGTCTAAATAGCATGCATCGAGCCTGAGCGGGATTCTAGTGAGGTCGGCCTCATCTTAGGGCTTATGTGACAGACTATAATTTGGGCGATAGTGGCAGATTAACGGAAGAAACGTAGACCCAAAGGAACAATGATTGCACCATACTCGAGACGTTACAAGACTCTTATTTATGATTGAATGCATTAAATGTATCAGTTTCCTCCTAGATTGCTAGAACTTAAGGTCTATAAATATTAAATACTTCCTGTACACACCCTAAAGGGGATCCGCCTCTCTAATAATAATATATTGCCTTATGCTACCTAAATTTCATCTGTTCTCATAGATTAACTCTCGTAGTCGGAATTAAACTCCATCATTTGGTGTTCTCGTTGAGAGTCGATTTACGTTGATGATGGTTGGATCAAACAATCACAACTATGCTGGCAGCAACCAACGTGATGCTCGGATGAACCAAGTTGTGATTGAGGATAAATGATCTCGTTCACGGCGAAGCAATTTCCGGAGGAGGAATGACAACGTGATGACTCCATGCGACTTGAGGAACCACTTACATGGCGTTGGAAGTTCTAGGCACCCTACGATGCGCCCGGCGATCGGGAATCCCGTTCCAGGCATGGATCCCGCACTAGCCCTGGCTAGCCTGGCAACTTTTTAGAGGGTTGTGGAAACCTTAACCACCGCCTTCAAAGGGATTGTTCCCAACACGAATGAAAGACCTCCTTCCCCTCACTGTGTTCCATCTATGCCCCAACGAGTGGAGACCGTAGTTGCGCAACGTCAGAGGAACTCACCATCGGTGATGTCTCATCGTTCCAGGCAGACCCCAAGGGCTTCTGTGATGGATCGTATTGGAGGACAGATGGTCTCTATGCATGATAGGCTCTCCTCTAGGGGTAGAGGAGTGATGAAGTATCCCCCACAGCCGTTTCATGCCACCATCGCAGTGCATGTGGGGGGAGATCTCATAAACAAGATCCTTGAACATCGGCGGGCCCGCAAAAAGCGTGCCTCCCCACCTCGCATCCTGGATGTCCAGGATAATGACGATCTCAGAAGGCATCTTGATGAACTTAGAAGGGCAGTGGATGGCAAGGTTAATCTCAATCATGATGTGAGGATTCTCGAGCCGTTTATCCGTCAAATCATGGATGCTCCGTTACCACATAGGGATACAAACCTTGCAACATTGAGGCCTACCGAGGAAAGTCAAAGACTAGTCCCCAACACCATGTTTTTAGATACATGGCCTACATGGTGATGATGAGGGTATAATGATGCAATTAGACACTGAGGATTCTCTATAGCCCTTGATGGGCCAGTCCGGGAATGGTATGACTTTTTACCTGACGCAAGGATGCAAAACTTCTGGGAGCTAGCTCAGGCGTTCATCGCACGATTCACCAGTTCAAATGATTATAAGAAGAACTTCTCTCACTTCCTAGGGGTCAAACAAGGACGCCAAGAGACCTTAACCGCCTTCCTGACTCGTTGGAGGGATAAATCAATCAAGGGTGATGGTTTAGATGACAAATCCGCCGTGGCAATTTTCACCAACGCTTTGAGGTCAAGAGAGCTGCATTAGGAAGCCCTACGATGAGCCGACCGGCAAGCCGAGGTGGAAGAAGCGGAAAAGCGGAAAAGAAAAGAGAAGGATGGAAAGCACGAAACAGATGACTGGAAGAAGAATAGTTCCGAGAAGGAGATCCATGACAAAGACAAATGGCGTGGATCTAGAAGGAAGAAGAAGGGCTGGGGTAAAAGCAAGTTGGGGGCACCCGATGGACCTTTATCCAGTCAGTCAGAATTTTACCGGGTAACACATCCAGTAAGCACAATCTTGGATTACGCGGTGAAGCAAGGCTTGATAACGTTGCCTGACAATTGCAACATTGTAGTTGGCCAAATGTTCCAGCCCGGCTGGTTGTGAGGTTATCGTGCCTAGTGAGAGGTCTCGCGTTCGAAACCCGCTAGACACATAAGGGTTCGAAACTCAATGGAGTGAGTTTCAGCCCTAATTACTTCAGGCTCCTCAGCCTCCCTCCCTCAGCCCCCTGGAGTAAAAAAAGGTGGCCAAACAACATGAGGAAAGTATTGCAAACTTCACAAGAGCGATACCCATGAGACGGACGATTGTTACGTCCTGAAAAAGTACGTGGAAAGGCTCATTCGGGAAGGACAGTTGGATCAATTTGTGAAGAGCCGACAGGGGCAACCCCCTCAAAAGAAGAATATCTCGATCAAGGGCAAAGATGAGCTGGCTTCAACCTCTAAGAAGAGGGAGGTCGGAACTCAATTCGAGGACGATGAGGAAGGGGAGGATTCCGGTCGGCAGAAGCGCCTACATGTCAACTAGATCTATGGTGAACCGGTGGGAGGAGACACCGCCGGGGAGAGAAAGAAGTGGAATCGTCAGTTGTTCATCGGAGAGATCAACCGTTTCCGGCAGACGAAAAGCAAAAGCGGGTTTCCATTATTTTTACTAACGACGACCAACCACCTTGCCCTCCCCCGCATAGAGACGCTTTGGTGGTAAAGATGGAAGTCATGGATACGGTAGTCCATAGAGTCCTTATATACAATGGTAGTTCGGTGAACGTGATATATTTGGATACATATCTGGGGATCGGCTTCCTAAAGGAAGCCTTAAAGCCAGTGAAGACTCCCCACTCAGGCTTCACCGGGGATGTAATCGAGCCGGAGGGAGTGATTACCCTTGCAGTTCAGCTCGGATCAGAACCATGTGTGCAGACCGTTGAGGCAGACTTCGTAGTGGTACGTTTGCCAAGCGTTCATAAGGCCATACTGGGCCAACCTTTATTAGAAGATCTGGGAGCCATCATCTCCCAGGCTCATCTCTGTATGAAATTCTACACGCCGACAGGAATTGGCATGGTAAGAGGAGACCAAACGATGGTGCAGAGCTGCTATATAAGGGCCTGCAAAGCCCATGGAAGGAACGTTGTCAGAATTAATGCTATAGAACAGGACCTGTCAAAATATGAGGAATGGCAGTTTAGAGCTCAGCCCGTCTCAGAGCTCGAGGAGGTCGGCGTCGATCCATCCAGGCCAGAACACCGGATTAAGATCAAAGCAGGACTACCGACCGACCTGATCAGGTTGGGGACCCGATGATATGCCTGGCTCGATCAAAGCATAGTTGTGCACCGATTGAATGTGGATCCTAAGGCAACCCCAGTAAAGCAGAAAAGAAGATATCTATCCTTGGACAAGAAGGAGTTCGTGAAATGGGAGGTGAGCATGTTCTTGGGCAACAAGCACATCAGGAAAGTGCAATATCGAGAATGGCTGGCCATCGTTGTTTTGGCACCCAAGTCAATGACCTGGAGGATGTGCATAGATTATAGTGACCTCAACAAAGCTTGTCCCATGGATCCTTTCCCTTTGCCAAACATAGATCAACTGGTGGATGAAAATGCTGCATGCGAGCTCCTCTCATTCATGGACGCGTTTAGAGGCTACCATTAGATCTCTATGCACGCTGACGACGCTGAGAAGCCCTCCTTCATTACCCCTGAAGGTATATTTTGTTACTTGGTAATGGCCTTTGGATTGAGAAATTCAGGAACCACATACACCAGGATGATGGCTAAGGTCTTCTGAGCCGTGCTTGGAAGGAACATGGAGGCATTCATAGATGACATGATCATCAAAAGCCAGAAAGCGGGACCATCCGGACGGCCTCAAGGAAGTATTCGGGATCATGAAGGTCAACATGAGGCTTAATCCTAAAAAATGCACTTTTGCAGTCCAAGGTGACAAGTACGCGTTCTTTGGATTCATGGTGACCCGCAGGGGTATAGAACCCAACCCAAAGAAGGTCAAAGTAATTCTGGAGATGGAGCCTCCACGAAACGTGAAGGAAGTCCTGTAGCTCATCAAACACTTTGATCAATCCGATCTGGTATGTGCCCCGCGAATCCAGAAGGAGGCATATATCTTGTCAAAACTAACACAGGATGCGCTAGAACACCTCATTTGCATAGTCATGATACAAGAATTGAACAAACCAAGCATCGAAGTAACGAAAGGTCGGGAGGTATTGCC